TAAAAAAGCACATAAACAACTATGGGACCAGGAATCCAACAATAAACTCCATCAAATCAAGGCTTTTTAGCTCCAAACCAGTATCCTCCTTCCTGTACWAGACGTGAACAAACAATATGGTCACACACAAACATACTCACGTTCACTTAATCAAAAAAAAGAAGATGTCAAGGAGATGTTGCAGACTTTCACCCGAATATAGATTAGCATGTAATAGGACAAAATCAAATGTATGGAAATAGTTATAATAGGGTGTTTGGTTTTGGGTCTACAAGGCTGTGAAAAAACAAAAAAATGTTATGTTATCTAATGTTATTAAAATAGTTACCTTGAAAATAATAAATAAGAAAAATCACRTTCGGCGTTATGATACACATTTGGTTCGTCAGATTCATCAGACGAAGAATATTCATGACATGGACTCGTAGGGGCACTTGAAAAAACGTCATCGTCTGAGTCATAACCTAAAATCATTAGACAAAAATAAATAAGCACAATCTTAGTTATTTAATACTATTCGATTATAGTTCTCATCTTTCATGAATTGAACTTAATGTATTTTACATATTATCTATAGTTTAAGTTTTAACCCTTTCACTGCACCACAATTGCATCTCTTTATTTTATGTAAAATAACCAGGTTTCAGAACATAAAATAGTGTAGCAGTGAAAAAGTTWACAATAAGACTAAAACATTTCTTCAACTAATAAAAATTAAATTTTTGAAATATATGATTACCATTTATGATATTTTTTGATTCTTCAGTTTTGTCTAGTTTTTTAACAGGTTCATTATCTAATTAAAGTAAAACATAAACTATAAAAACTTATATACAAGACAAATGTGCTAAAAAGTATCTAAAAGAAAAATGAAATAACTTTAGCATGCAATTTAAAYAATTGATAAAAATGATAACTGTTACAAAAGTCAATAACATAATAATTATTATTATATATACACATCATTCCAAAAGAGTATAATATTAATTTTAAGGGATTTTTGAAAAAAATTTTGAATTTCCTAACTGCAAAATAGGATTATAATATCAAAACCTATATGTTTTGTGTTACTGTGTATTGTAATCCATTACTTGTAAACTAAAATTTAAATTTAAACATAAGATTATCGATCTCTTCCCCCTCAACTAAATATCTGGGAATAACACTTGATAAACACCTCATTTGGAGTCCACACTTAAAATACAAATGCCAAGCTCTCAATTTTAGTCTTCATCTTCTTAAACCTCTACTCTGCTCTCCCTCAAAAYAAACAAACAACCTCATATATTTCTAAGACCTGTGTGGTGCACCATGAGATCCAAGTTTGGAACTCAACCAAATGATCCAATACTAATTACAATACAGGCTTTTCAATCTACCTATCTACGCTTAATAATTTTGATATGCTCATTTACAAAAAACACACACAACTTTCAATACTCACACAAATCCTATAATCACTCACTTTTCACTCAAACAAATYCCAAATAACCCATCCAGGTGCCTTAAAAGGAACTGGTGTAGGGAYTTACTCTATCCTCTAAATGAGGCCACTATGGGTAGCGACACCCATTAGCGACAATGGGCGATTTTCCTTTCCCATCATTCAAGCTCATCCAGTTTACCTATTGTGTAATATTGTAAACAGAGATTGTTAATAAAAACTTTGAAGTAAAAAAGGATTTTTCATAGGTATTTCTAAACAAATAAAATTAACAGATCTTTTAACATAAAATTATTAAAATAAAACAAAAATACAAAAAGTAGACATCTAACAAAACACAGCAACATTAGTATCAAACTTTCAACCTGACATGATGTGATTCTTAAAAAACCATCTCACAATTACATTTAATAATCTTCTTATCATCTAAAACTTAAATCATACCAAAATTAATTGAGGATACTCTAATATAAACTAGACCTCTTAAATATCAATCAYTTATACATTAAATTAACCTCATAAATWAATTATAAGTCCTGAAAGGCTGATAAAAACTATTATGTAAAATTTATAGTTGTTATAAATATACAACTAATGCCGGTTCTTACAATGCCTGGTTAAGTGTCTGTTAATGGTTAACCGACGCTTAGTGGGATTTTTAACAGCATAATTCTACCGGTTAAGTGTCCATTAATTTTAATCGGACATTGTAAGAACGCCCCAAAACATAACTCAGAAATAAAA